CTATTCTTCAGTTACAAATACCTATTAATGATTTATAATCGAGAAATAGATGGAATTTTCATCCACCATGCACCCGCTTCTTTAGAAATACGGCACAGCATGACAAGTAAGAGTACGCGCTGCCCGCACTGACAAAGGCGAGAAATAATATCTTCAAATGACCCACACTTAGCTGGATTGTCATCGCGTCTATACTGTAAATTTAATTATGTTTGGAAACATATAATGGTAAAGCGTATAAATGACAACGCTACCCTCTAAACAATGACCCAAAAGTTCTAAATTCAAATATATCTTAAGAAAAGGAAATAGAAATGGAATATCATTATTCATACAAGAATTTATACACACGCACTGAATATAAGTGGTGAAAAGTCAGCGTACTGCACCACAGCACTAAGGACCCCCTGGTGCTGTGGTACAGTACGCTGAACTTTAAGGATCTGGTTGCAGTTCGAGTCCCGCTCCGTGGCAAAACCCCCGGTAATAAACCGGCGAACAGCAGGAAACCCGCCCCTCACCGCAAACCACTGGGCGATGCCGTCAAAAACAGTATAGTGAGATGATTTCAACCAGAAATACCCGAAAAGAGAACGATCGCCGTTTATTACTTTTAAGGCGACGCCTTACAATAATACAGAATGGCGGTCAAATAGGTCATGATTGTGTTTTACGATAGAAACGTCAAGTTGACTTTGGACGCAACGTTCTCGCGTGCTGGCATTACCAATAAATGAGTATCTTGGCAATTCGCACTGAATAGTATCGGGCACCTGGTGTAGTGGATATGTGCACAAAGTTCTACTCTTTCGATTGCGGGTTCGAGCCCCGCAAGAGAAAAAAGGAAAAGACCGAAAAACATTGAAAACTGTGCCATGGTTGGGGCGTGTGAGGGCAGAGTTCCGCTACGTCGCATCCATGGGCAGTCAGTACCAGTCAGACGGTCCAATCGTGGAACAGCGCCTAGGTGCCACTTTAGTAGTCGTGAAGTACATCAAAATCGGTGGGTAGGGAGGAAGCCCGCAACCTAATTTGCCAAGTCGCGCGCAAGTTGATATGAGCGTGGATACTGAGATTCAATCGATACTACAACTAATATGTCTATTATTATACTAATTAAAAATGGAAAATTAAGTACTGATGAGAATTTACAATGGGGTATGTAGGTAGAGGAGATCACAATACTAAAAAAGGACAATTGTTTGTTTAAACGTATTAAAATGCTGTGCAAATTATGACTAGCATTTACAGCAGTTCGAGATACCAAATCATTCTTTTGTCTTCGTAAATAGATTGATTTTATCGCATTTAAGTTCGTATTGCCGAAAACTTTTCTTACTACTCATAAATTCTAACATTTGATCAAATTATATATAAGATTCGATCATTATAGAACAATGTCATCTCAGTGAATGGAATTCATGCAGAATGTAAAGCACAAACTCATTACATAATAACATGTCTCATTTCAGAAGGTATAAAGAAGGCCGAGCTGCTACGCTGTGTGCAATGAATCATTTTACTGCTGACATCTATATCAAGTCCATGCTCACATCACTCATATCGCACAATTTATGGTGACACCTTTATTAGTAGAACACGAGTAGTTTTTATTCGCGATAACCGCAATATACAATACATTTTAGGAACTAGTAAGAGAGCTTTTTCTTATGCCTACGAAAGCATCCGCGTGACATCCTTAAAAACCTCATTGTCTTTTCTACTTTTGCTTAAATATTGTTGCAGAAGACCCGTAGCTGTTTCGAGCTCAATTATGGGATCAGTGATTATCATTATCATCTACTCTAATAAAACGTATGATGACAAAGGATGTGGGTGTCAATCTGATTGGACTGTTCGCGCTACAATTATTTATACGAGACGTAAATGCGAAGAAGAATAGTGAAAGCATTTCCTGCAAGTAGGCAGTGGAGCCTGACATATAGTCTTTCTATATCACGGTTTTAGGACAACAAGTATCAAAACTGGCGGTCGCAGAGTCAGCTTTCTGATACAGAAGAACTCCGGCGTGGGTAAAGCTCGTAATGCGGACATATCGTGTATCCGATAATGATATATATACGCAATCTGAATTTACCATGACTTCCACCTTAGACGCTTATCAATCGGTTGCGTACGCGCGATTACCACACGACCCGATCTCAATTTGGTACGAAGATTTGCTGGAGACAACTATCAAACATTTCTGCAAGGCTTCGCTACATTGGGAATGGAAAATGCAGAATCAGCGATGAATCAGTATAAGAATACATATACTACCATTATTATATATTATGCTTATGGTGTCGACGAACCTTTTCCCCCACGCCTTTCTATTTCTTAGAAATGAAGTTGTCCTTGAGGACACTCCTTTACTGATCGACGTTTTAGCTGTTAAAGTTAGTAGTTGTGGTGTGTTGAATGTGTAGTTAATCCATGATCAAGAAGTTTGGAAGTCAGTGTTAGCGCAGGTCCGAGAAATATCTCGCCTCTCGACTGAGCAAGCCACCGACGAGGCCACCTGGAGAGGGCCGTAATATATCTTGCGTTTTAGTATAGAGGCTATAAATCTGTTTTCTTTCTTCTCTACACAACTGTAGACATATTTTGGTGTTCAGAAAACGATCTCTTGAAATAAGGGGTATATAAAGCAGATATACGCTGGCGTCAATAAAAGATTAATGACATGTGTATTATATGTCTTGTAGTATAAATAGGTGGCGCATCAAAAAATTATACAGTATCCATCGACGTTGTTTTTGAATGATCAGATATTGTATAGTGATAATCCGGTGTATTTTTCCATTTTCTTGAGAAATGATCGAACGGAGCACAATTTTTTCTTATCGCTATGTATACAGCACATACCTCTCATACATGCGTGCTTGAACTCGCATCGACATATTTTCATGTTGTCGGTCATGTTCTGTTAAAACCAGTGCCACATTAACATGTATAAGTTTGTTCAGCGGTTCGATGGTGTCGAAATCATTACGTTTTACAATAATTAGTTTAATCGCTTCGTCGGAGTTGTTCGTGCCCTAAATATTGCATTATGGTACATGTGCTCTGCGACGCGAGATTCATTAATTACTTAGTAGCAGTAGTAGAGCCTCTATATTTACTTGGTATATATCGGAGAGTTGAATTATCCTGCCAAGTGTCTTATGTGGATTGGAGGGGCTAAATTGCCACGCCTATGACCATCATGACGCCGCATGGATTCGAATAAGCGCATAAGTCCACAGTTGGAGACCGCGATATCTTGCATTAGAACGACATACTTTACATCATCACAGCTTCTTTTACTGTCAGCCTTTGGAATTCTCATACACAAGTCTTTCCTATAAGCGTGTTTTTACTTTATCGGGTCCAAAATTATCCGGGTGACACTGCAATAATGTCGAACGTAGATATCCGATTTCCTGTATAATGTCTACTCTTACTACCTTCTTTTTTGTGGTCAAGTATGGTTGTATAATTTGTACGACAAACTTACAGCTCGTGTGCACTTCATTTTAGCACTACCTTGTCGCATTCTGTCGCTTGGTGAATACGCCCTGGCAACAGCAATATAGTGTAAATTAAGCTAGATTTCAAACATTGCAGCTAAAACTTATAATTGAACAATACGTAACACTGCAGGCTAAGTATAGATTGTTGATACACGCTTTTCTTATACATAATGACGGCTGACGAGAAAAGGTGAAAAGCTTTCGAATCAATGAAATAAGGGAAGAACGGATGGCACGTCGTTAAAAAGGAACTATCATAGACTGAATAATAAGTGGGTAATAACGAGCTACCATGTTTTTTAGAAGCTTGAGGCCAAAAGATCGTCAGCTCGTTTTTTGTTGTTCGACCAGACCTGCAGTTTTCAGATGAGGCATTACTTCTTTGTGTTGTAGACAAATTATTTACTGCATGGTCCATTTTGTATTGCACTTTCATTCTGGAGTGAATGAAAGAGGTTTTATGATGGTAATTTTTCAAATTTAACGAATCACCGTGATTAATAGAAACATATTTCATTATCGTCACTATTCGTTTCAACTCGCGAATATATATCAATTGCTCACCGCAGACGTCTCGTAAAGCGGTGCGTATTCCAGAGCCTGAGCTGTCGCTCCTTCACACCCTCGTGCATGTCAATAGGGCCGCACGAGGCACCCTGTAGGTCAGTTCCTCGAATATCGTCATAGCTGTAGCTATACTGGCTCAATACAGCATGGGGGAGAAGGACGCCCAGGCCCAGCAGGTACTGAATTAACGACTCTGCATGCGCTCTTGCAGACCGCGTCGTTTACGTTGGGAAAGACTCAAAGCAACCTTTGCTGTCGTATCTAATAAATTGGTATCAATCGTTAAGGCCACCGCGCGCTTTCCTGCCGATGATAGGTTTCAGCGCGAATGAAACAGCTTGACCAACGATTTATCGCGGGTGCACAGCTCTTGACACGATTAACACAACAAGTTGAAGACAGGCAGGGGTCGGCTCCTTGTTCGTTGCAGAGAAGCACGAAGCCAGCCTTGATCGGCCTGCCGTTGCGTCTTATCGTCTTAGATCACCCCCTACTACACCGTACAAGTATAAAAATACACGTGTGATGCTTCGATACTCACGTCGCCTTCGTCCTTGATGGGAGCTGGTCGTAGTGACTCTAATCTTGCAGCAACAACTTTCAACGGACGCCAGTGGTGCAGTTCAGAAGTTGCAGTTGGCAAGTTGGCAAGTCCTTGAAAACAGTGCCCCAGCTGCTCGCATGACTACTCGAATGGCGACAAGCGCAGGGCGAGAGCCTGACATGATTTTCGGCAAGGTCAAATCTATTGGCTGGGAGCCATTAATTCTGTCCACGTCTGTCTCTAACGCCCAATGTTTTGACCCACTGACGGATGCAAAGCTTCCATAACCTCTACCGACTGCCTTTCTCTGGCAAGAGTGGGATGCCGTTGGGCAGACGGACTCGTGCCGCTCGTCCAAAGGCTCTCGGCCGGCCATGAACCCATTCGCCTTTTTGCGCCGTGGCCACAAGATCTCGAGCTCGTCACTTGGCCCTGTAAAGCTGTCACTGCGGAGGTGCCGTGACCACAGGGACGTCATTCGTCAGCCCTTTCGCCACCGCGAGGCCATTATTCACAGGGACGGAGCGCACGAACCAGTGGCCGAACGCGCGATGGCAAACTGGACGTGCGACCCGCAGGCAACGACGACCACCGCAACGTGCGTACACCAGTAGCGACGTCGTCTCTTCCTCTCTCTCTCTTTCTCTTTCTTTCTTTCTTGCAAACCACATGGAATCGATGACGTGGCACATGGATTTAATATCGTCACCAACGAATCACTTGTCTGGATTTTCTGCTCTTGTAAACACAGACTTACTGTCGTGACATGTCCGCTGCTGTCACTACGATCCTGTGTGGACAAGAAAATCAACATCCGCTGGCTACCAGAGAGCAGCCAGCGCAGCGACCTCTACGTCAAGGACGCGAAAAGTCGTCTCACGTCACGTAAACGCGTGGGTAGCGTGATCGTATCGCCCAGCCAACTTACAAAACGACAGCGAATATCGGCGACTCGTAACGACGTGTCGCATTGTTGCGAAGCGCTCGAGAAGGATGCAGAGATAGCGACCACCTCTCCCCGATCGTTGCAATACGCGCTGCCAGGCTTGTCGAGTCATGACACGCAGCACGTACTACATGCAATGCGAGCTATACCCAGTGAGCTGCGTCACTTGAATGGCAACGCCAGTCGGAGCCGTCTTCAAAGCCGCTGTGAGGTGCGACAAGTCCTTGGCTGGCGGCATTTGCTTTGTCAGGAAGATGACGATGAGGAGACAGCCCGCCGAGTTGTCTGGAAAAGCGCCAAGGCTCTGAACGCTGTGAAAATGCGACCATTGGCTCGCCAGATCTGGAATACGAGCACAACGAAATTCGCTGGTGTCAAGAAGGACGAAGAACAGGGAAAAGTGTTGTACACTATCAACCACAGAGCCCGTGTCACGTACTCAATGAAACGGCGATATGGTCAACTTAGCCCCGCTCTTGACCAGGTCTGGATCGAGTGCTTCCTCGACGACGGACTGCAGATCTGCGTGGCTCGCAAAGAGCTTCGACAATTCGGCGAGTACCACGCGCCACAACTGTCGGTCACTGAATGCCAAGGATACTTGGTGCGACCAATCTATACGAGGTCCGTCAATGCTCATTTAGTGGGTTGCTCACTGCAATGCCTCAGAGCGGTGGCTGCTCGTGATGGCGGCGTTCGGTCTGTCCCAGCGCTAAAGCAGCGAATGATCAACGACCTCCCGATGCTCACGAAGCGATGCGAACAAGACTACCTATGTGACCTCGTGCAGCGTCGTAAGTGCTCCTGAGTTCGTTGACAAGTCAAATTCGATGAAAGCCTCAATGTTATATAATTGTACGAATGATAGCGTTGTTGATGTTAGCTAGTTACGTGGTTCGGCAACAGCTGTGTATTCTTGACGCATTCGAAAATGTCTGCAACCTCTTCAGAAAAGTGCTGCCACAAGGACTCAGCTTCCACAACAAACAAAAAAGTCGCTCCACGTGTAAACAAAACGTCGAAGAGTACGCGGACCAATGTGTTCACATGTGCTGTAACTTCCTCTATCCAGTATGAAGCCGAGAAAACATGAGTTGCATTTTATTCACGAGCACCTTTGGTTGACCGTTTTCTGTAATAACTTGGAGACTCTACCAAGCCGTGTGCTGGGTACGTTGCGTTCGCGCGAATTGGCGTTACTGATATCAAGTCAATTTTCTTCCCACTTGAAATTTAGTTGTGGCTTGGAATATAATGCGAGTACTTACCAAAATTCAAAATCAAATAATTTGCGTAGCTGTTTTTCAACATGCTAGCGCGTCATGCTACACACGGTATATTGTGACTTGAGCATCAACACGTCCCGTCGCATTAATGCGCTTATACTTCCAACGACGTTAAATTATCAATCGAACTTCAAAAGCCTATGTTTGCTTCCCCCGACGAGCTACATCACGTCTGATGTCCGCAAACCCGTCTTGTCAAGATTATATAAGGGCCATATCAAACGACCGACCTGCATGTCTAAGCTGTACGATACATCAGGCTACTCACCTACCCAGCCATCGAGCTGCCGCAATCATTTACTGACATTACGGACTTCGCAGGTGTCCTAGGGAGGTACCCTGATAAGCGTCTTCACCTCATCATTGTAGATGCAGCAACGTATGCATAGCATGTATTACAAGTTATAAGATGGCATGATCAAATATGCAGGTAACTCGTGGGTTTGACGCCACTCACATAACATAAGCCAGTGGTCTATGACGCACGGTAGTTTCCAATATATTGGAAAAGCAAGGGCAGCGACCAAGTTTGCGATATGTAATTTAGATCCATGCGATCATCCGCTCAATACCACCCGTTAGACCTTCCAAGAATCAGTTGATGCTTGCACCAGGTCTTTTTTACCAGATAAGTCACATCGATCGCCATTCCACACCAGCACAATTTTGAGCTCGTCACGCATTTTCAACTTCTAAAGTGTTAATAGCGGACTTAAGTGAAGCATCAGCGACACTCATATGCTTAACATCAGTAGTTTACATGCGCTTTTCGGTTCTTAGGGACAAATATAGATCTGGAAACGAAGAAATAAGATCAATCATATTGAAGCTTGACGCCCTCGTACGAGACAAGTGTCTTAGTACACTTGGACATTTTCGACCCGCACATATGACGCATTTTGTTGGATTGAAGGATGGTTTCATCATCACGCTCCACCTTCATTAGTTTTTTCTTGATCTGACTCGTCTATCACTATTATTCGATTTTTGTACGTTCACTCGGTATATCGACGCAGCGCAGTCGTCTAGTCTGCTAGATATGTCGTCTTAAAATGTCTTTACAGCCCATCACTAAATCGTTTTGATTTTGGTCTTTATCTTTTCGAGCCCAGTCTACATCCTTGCTAAAAGGTTTACATTTACGCGCATTTGCTGCAAGCAGAGTGTCGAGAGGCGTGAGATGAGTCATACAGCAACGGTACGTAAAATAATCATCGACAAATCTACGGCGCAGTTTGACACAAAGGGATGTCAGACCACACACGCCCGCCCGGACACACAGGTCTTCTAGATCATAAGGTTGCGTTGATGTCGACGTCATATGACAACGAATGCCACTCTGTTTTGCGTCAAAGTAGAGTAGCGTAGACCGACAAAATTTAGCTAAAATGGAGCCGGGGGCGTGCCAGCACATCGTGCACATTCTAGCTACTTTATGCAGGTATGTGATACAGACTGCAAGATTCCGATAACGACACCAGACAAGATTTGTAGATGTGGTCTAAATTACTAAGGTTATTGCATCTGCAGTTGTTGTTGCCCTGATGGTTCATGGCGCGGCCTTGAAGTTCCGCCGTGCCCTATTAATATTTATTCTCGATGAAGTATTTGTTAAATTTTTATGTAGCTTCTTCCTTATTTACTGCTATATCTATTAGCGACTAACGCAGGTTATTTTACTGTCAAGCTTAAGCCTTGAAGCGATATCTTGCGACCTCCTCATCCCCAATCTTCCTCACATTTAGCTTGTGCGCACTCGCAGGTGGCAAGTTAAAGATACGACTTAACGACAAATAAAGCGTAGTACAGTGAAGCCAATGTATCTTTATATGGCGGCTAAACACTATCGCCTACAGCAAGGTCAATGATGCATAAAATGTGACTAGTAATATTCACGCACAGCTGCACCGGAAGTAAAGCCATAAGTCGGACGTTGTTGGGTCCGAATGAAAACGTTTTGTACTGACATACTTATAGAGATCCAGAAAAGCGCAAGAGTAGATGGAAAAGAAGGCTGTGCTCTTTGTAATTATTGCCGGTCCACGATCCCTAGTCGAAGATCCTTGCTGAACCGCTAGCATTCACGGAGGTATGTGTACGCAATATCTTGCCTATCTGAGTTCAGTCGGGATATCTACCCTGCTGCACTACCCGAATCTTGATCCATTACCATCGTCCAGTGTACAGATTCACGTGCTGCGTGAGCCATGCCTTTATGGGCGGAAAGATTATAGAAATAAAATGCGGAACTGCCTTGTAGCAGTATGTCAGGCGAAAGCTAATGCAAGTCTTGTCGCATTATCCTGCCGATTGAAAGTCTTTAAATGACGAACTTTTTGATTACGGACCACACCCTTTTTTTATATGGACCACACACCCATCGAAACCACCCCTATCTGACTAATAGGAAGCAACGGACGCGTGTTTTTCGGTGTAACACCTATCTAATTATCGACGGTGAGACCAATTCAACCTCACTTCTAGCAGCTGTGTACTGATTAGTAGTGATTTTAGCGACTAGGTTAAGCCTCGACGCACGACCAAGTAACTTAATACATCAGATTCGATACCGTTGGCACCACCAGCTACCAGTTCTTTCACGTTTCAAACACTGCAATGGAGAAGATGCAATGAAACACGCAGAATCAGAAGGTTATGATCTGACGAAAAGTACGAACCGAACTGTTGCAAAAAAGAAAAATGGCTCAGTCAAGCAGTGGTCGTCTTTTGTGCTCACGGAGGATAGCATGGAAAATAAGGAGAATATGTTACGCAATTCAAGAGACTCTCGAAATGGCAGACCAATGGTGGGAGGAAGTGTACATGCGAGGAGTGCCATGAAGAAGATCAACATCAAAACTTGTCCCGCTCGCCGTCAAAGATCAGCATAGCAGATTAAGGCTTCCACTCCTTTTTACAGCACTTATCATCCTATCACTTTACACAGATTGTGTTGAATATATATTACACCGAAATACGCGTCCGTTTCTTCGAATTGGTCAAATAAGGGGACCACGCTGGGGTGTGTGGTCCATGTATCAAAAGGGTGTGGTCTAGCTATCGGGGCCCTTCTTTTATAATCATTAGAGGATTAGTATAAATTTAATTTCTGGGTATAAAATAATGCTCTGCCACTGATCTGCTCCCTACTAGGATAGACTATAAAATACAGTCATGCACCTTTTTCGACACACTAAAACTTTGATAGCGTAATAATCAACCCTGGTATGGTTATTTTCATCAAAAAGAATCATGTTTTGTGTAAAGACAACTAGACGTACGATATGATCGGTTTTAGATAGCTGTCCCGCATCATATAGAGCAATCATGTGAGTCGTTTCGTGCCAGAGAAAGTAAAATGATTTAAAAATGTTGTTAAAACATCCAACAAAGATTTAAGGCATTTGGGATTCGATTATAAGCGACTTTGGTCATATTTTTATGAGATGCTCGCAATTGTCAAATCACATCACTGGATACGTTTGTAGCTGTTGCATATTCTTGCTGTCGTTAAAGGAGCGCAATCGGTGGGGTGAAAGGAGCGCGACTGGTGAGGTGAAAGAGCGCAACTGGTGATGTCAAAGAGACGCGGCTAAATTAATGTACGGAGCATCTAATGAGTCAACATGAGTGATCTTTGGTAACGGATGAACAAGATGATAGAGTATGATAAGCTATAAATATATTAAGTCCCTCTTTTCCTTACCACTGGCAACGTGCCAGATATCAACAGCTATTCATATTGCTAACTCGTATACAGTGATAAAAGGGACAAACGCGCCAGTACGAACTATAGAAGAGACGACTCACATTCGTTGGTAATAAATATGCACTAATTGCGGGCATGAATTTTACTTTGAAGAAGTCTCTTTTATGTAAGCAAGTTGGGAGTCGACTTTAGAAGCTTGCAGTCTTATATCGCATGACAATTAAATCCATAAATGCAGTATATGAGTTTCGTATAACGTAAACTACTATGGCTTGGCATCGGATAATGTCGTGCAAGACGCATTTTTTATAAGATAAGTAGAAGTCGTAAGCAGAATTGCACGAACACAATTCACTTCGCCCATTTGATATCTTAGGTCATTTATTGTACATGCAAAAACATTGACACACTTTCCAAGTTGCTTACATTGACTGGAAAGGATACTTCGCTCATGCTGCACCAATAATATGTAAATGGTAAAGGTAATACATTTGAAGTGACACAAATTATAACGTACACGCACGTGAGATGGAAGCGGATATACAAACGAGAGCACGTAAGTCTACGGTGAGACGAAATGACATATATCGATTTGCTGTAATTGAAAACGCAATTTAAAACTTTCTAGTCCATATTTATTGTAATAACAAGTTATATATATCTTCAGGCCACACATTGCGCGCGTACATCACTAGCTATACGACTTGAGAAATAATTCATTGATCATCATGGTCAATACGTAGAGGCCACCGATTATATATGCAAGATATAGCTTGTGCAACAATTTATATATGTCAGCACGATAAACTGTGA